CGTCGGGGGCCTGCGCCCACTGCTGCCACCTCGGCACCTCAACACAGCCTGGGCGCTAGAAGGCAGAAAACCGATCTCCATGTGGTCGAGCCTTCCGTCCGATCCTCCAGCCCAGCTCCCAGTCTCCGCAGCCAGAGGGCTAAGCTGTACAGGTGGATGAAACAATTATTTATAGTGCGTTGCGTGCGTCATTTTACAAATTTCTTGTGATTCTTGAATCTCTCAATACACTGCAACGTATACATTAGTTATGTTCTACATTAACAAGTGCGATTGTTCGCGTATGAATCGAGTGATATCATATCGACGTGTTTGTTATCAAATTGTTATTGAACACTTTAGAATTGGTTCACACTTTATGTCACCTATGATTTGGTGGACCACTATAGTTTTCACACATATGGCATTGTTTATTAAGAAAATAACTACAAGTTTCTATATTTGTTGTCACAATTGAGTGCGTTAGTACAATAACCTTATTACCAATAGGTACTTTGTTATTGTTTCGTTTGCAACTGGTTCGATCTATGGTACAAGGCCGTCCGAGTGGTTTCTGTTATTACTGACGAAGTCGGCTATGTTATCTGTTTTCATAAATATTACAAAGGTGAATCAAGGCTTTCGTTAAACTTATCGTTCCTTCCACAATAGTAGAATTGCGGAAAGATCGAGGTTACGCCTCATAACAAATGGCCCCGCAATGCATACAGTTGCTTCTTCAAACCAACAATTTCTACCTAAAGGAAATGCAAATTTTATTCAATATCATGCACATATCCATACAAAGCAAATGTACACATTAACATCAAGTGTTACGTATTAAAATTCAAAATTTGTTACGGCAGTACGCTAGATAATTTCCATAAATAGATCCTTCTATATAATAGAACTTCGGAATAAATAACGTTTTCTGTAGGTCAAAGCAGAACAAAACATCTGGATGCAAATTGCAGATTCTGTATAAAAATTACGACGTGTCAGTCAATTCCTTGTAAAAGTTGATTGATGCCTATTGTTTATTTTTGCTTTTCTTTCACGCTCTATTGGCGGATGATTTCGTAACGTTCAATATTTCCCTTTCCAATGACTTGGGTGGTTTTATATGCTGTTCGTAATTGTTTGTTCCGTCATCATAGACACGTTCCCTAGCTGCAATTAACAAATTGCAATCATCACTATGATTATTGTTTCAACATGTACGCAGTTTTTATATTCAACAAGACCAAGTCTGATTATCATCTTGGAATCGAAGTAGACAGAGTAAATTTACCTCAACTTCATGTAATAAACATGAAGTCAATAATACCTCCCTTTGAAATCCCGGAAGGATTAAAAATAAAAGGCAAATAAATCAAAAGTAAATAATTTTAAAGTTTATTGAATGACCACCATGAGATTTAGTTGTTTTTGTGAAATTCCTCCAATAGTTTGTATTCTTTCCTTATTCAGATGTTGGTAGCTGTAAAAGTATCTGGCTGAGTGAAGAAATAGATTTCTCACAGATGGCGCTACGGAAAAAAGTCGTTGAAAACAACAAACAGGCACATAGGAAAATTCGTAAGGTCCGCTAGTTCTTTCCGGGCAGGAGTCGAAGTGATAATTATCATTTAGAATTATAATGATAAATGATAAATATACAAGTGACAAATATAAAAGTGATAAATATATCTTTGTATTTATAAAATTTATAGGAACAACAAAATTGGTAACATTTAGCACTAGCAATCAATGTCTTACAATGCTTTTGTATCTGAGACGTATCCTAACGTGCCAAATGTCAATCTCATTAAAAAGTCAACCAAATCGTTTTCCCCTAGGTCTTCGTATTTGTTTAGTTTTTTTATGATACCAAGTCACGGGAAAATCAAGTCGGCCGCCTGGCGGTAAGTGGTACGCCTATCCATAATAGTTGCAATGCCGTTCAGAACTTTAAATCGAAATGTCTATTCAAATATCTGAAGGGACACTGCCACTGCGCTTGTCATCCTGAGACATAAGTTGACAAGTCCCATGTGCCTATAATTTCACCAGCAACCTTACCCTTCAAAACCGAAATGCAGAAACCCTCAAATACTTACTGCTTGATGAAGTGGGCCAGTTTTCTTAATGTTTGTCATTTTTAGTCAAAAACTAAAGAAAAAAATATGAAGCATGGATAAACGTATATTCTCCATACCATCCTCTATTGGCTAAAACTCCTTTTTTTTATCTCGCCAATATCACGTTACGTTCTTCGTCGGCGCAAATATACCCTCTGTTCAATTTTCATTTAACCCGCACAATGACAAAGCCGTACACCATTCTTCGATGCCCTAGCCATTATCGAATCCTTGAGTAGGACAAATTTTATTGACGTGTTCAATAACACTGAATCAAAATTTCTAACATCCTCTGGTTACTATTTGCAGACGGTCGGTCACCCAAAGTTCTGTGGTCCAATTTCCGCAGCTTACATTTGGCCGGTGACCGCCTCAACCTTTATATGACTATGACTTACATTTTTAGTTATAAGTACTGTAACTGTAATTTGTACAAAATAAACAAATAAATAAATAATTATATAATAATATTATAATAAGAAAATAATTCCCATTGCTAAGTACCATATTATATCCTTTTAGTAGCAGTGGAGCTCCTTGTGAAAGAGTTAGTCCAGGGTAGTACTGCCACCTTACCTATTTCCGCCGCCAAGCAGTAATGTTAGAAATACTGTGTTCCGGTTTTGAAGGGTAAGGGTGCTGGTGAAATTACAGGCACACGGGACTTGTCAACTTATGTCTCAGGGTGACGGGCACAGTGGTAGTGCCCCTCAGATCTTTGCAATTTAAAGCTCTGAGTGGCAATGTAACTGTTTTGGACAGGCGTGTAGCTTACCATCAGGCACACGATTTGTTATTAAAAAAGAATCTAAAATATATAGAACAAAATACAACACAATAATTCTGGAATTTTAGAAGGAGTTATTATCCACTCTACGCACGTGTGATGGCGATCTCTGGTAATATCACATGAGTAATGCAAGATAAATGTCAATTGACTTGACATTTACATGGCTTAACATTAAAGTACTGTAGAGTGTCTATATATGACTAAGCTATCAAACAGAAATAGGTTGTTAGGCGTGTAAGCTGGTACTGGATTAATGGCAACATTGCTCTATTTTTGCAAGCTAATTAATTTGTAACGATGAGTCACGCACACGCCCTGTCATCGTGTTCAAATGGATTTGCAGTTTTAATCTAGTCAAAACCTGCTGTTATCGTATTTATTACTTAATTCTTTACAATTTCATCGAATTTGAAATAAAGCCGATAGGTGCGAAAGTATCTAAACACTATATATACACTATTATATTTTTACTTATGGAGTAAGGTGTATTTCCAACTACGAACTCTGGCCCTGTCTAAATATACATATATATATATATATTATTGTTGCGAACGCAATTTTTGTAATTTTAACATAATTTCCAAAGCAGTAACAAAACGCTGCTCGTCAAGGGCACATTACGTAGGCCTATTTTGAACCAATCGAGTAACACCACATATGTCTTTTTCATCCCTACCACATTTGTAACGAATTTTGTACGTAACTAAAAAGGTCAAAAGGACCGTTCACTTTTAAAACTGTACCCCTTCAGAAACTATCACTGTATCGATTTAACAGCACTACTCCTGTAACTAACCAGTCACCTATTTTAAAATATAACACAGTTAACTAAAATCATCTTTGATTTCACGAGTCGTCGAGCTCCTGATCGTCATCTACTTTGGGTCTGGCGGCTCCAATTATATATATTGTATATACATAATATACATAAAATGTGAAGTGACTTAGACCTAGAGAATATTATTCCTATGATCACGTAAACGCCCAGTGTACTTTAAAATGAAAACATCGAATTCAAATTTAGCGCCATATATTCTATATGACCCTAGGGTATCTAGAAAAATACGTTTTTCATATAAAACTGAGGGCATACTTGCTGGGGCCTGAAGTACCTACATATTAATTGTGTGTGAAGGAAATAAATTTATTATTATTATTAATGTACATTGGGCGTTTTGTGCTTTTCCGACTGTAGTTTGCTGGGACTTGCAGGAAACTATAGTTTGTAGGTTTAGGTAATTTTAACTAAAAGTAAACATATCGAGTTCTTAGGTTTTCGCGATTGTTACACATAGGAAATGAAACTATTTTTCTGGATTTAAATCGCGTATATTTGTTTTTTCAAACACGGTTGACTGTCAACCGTGACCATGGGACCTGTAAAGGGCCCGAAACGTCGGTTTGTTTGAAAAAACAAATATACGCGATTTAAATCCGGAAAAATAGTTTCATTTCCTAAAAGTAAACATGTTACTTGGTTAACTGGTAAAATACAATATTTAGTAGTGAGTTTCATATGTTGTATTACTGCTGTAGGCTACTCTTTCATTTGGTCGCATGTTATTAGCTGTCATATTTTTATAGGCAGGATTTTAGGTTGTTTATACTGTTGGGTAATTTTCCGAAAAATTTCAAATAGCAGTTATTTTTACGGAAAAGTTCCCGAAAACTTATAATATTATTATAAAAGTAGAACAACAATTCGTCGTTGCAATATCAACAACGTTCACGAAGCTATATTCATCGAAAAAATCCCAAAGGTTTTGCGAATAATTACTTACTGGAAGAATGACAAAATAGTACACAACATAATAATAATAATAAATTAATAATTTATTTGGCAATATATTGAACATTATGTCAAATTGTGTAACGTATAAACTATATACGAACCATAAAAAAACAGGACGCGCGACTTCGGGAGAATTTCGGCGTAATCTTTGAAATTCACTCAGTTACCGTCTCGTATGTATAATAGTTTATATGTTATACAATTTGTAATAAAGCTCATTATGCTGTGTATACAATTTCGTAACCAAAAATTCGCCTATAACGTAAATAGAGCTTTAATTTTTGGCCTGTACTTAATTTTCCAACTATTTACTTCGCAGAGCGAGCCTGCCCGTACGCACGGCGCGACTGCTGCAGCGGTCGCGTGCGCAGACGCCGTCGGAGGGCACCGGCGGCGGCGGCAGCGACGGCAGCACGTCGCCCGCACCTGCGCCCGCCACTCTACTTCAAGACGTGGTCGACATTAAGACCCTGCTGCTACAGCTTAAGCGGGTCTTGCAGGAGGTCAGTGTACGTCATCCACGCTTGCACCTTATGTGACTAAATTTGCACAATGATGAATAAGTCCACAGTTCTACCACTGAATGAATAAATATGCGTGTAGCTCTTGACATATACTTAAAACACTTTGTGGTTTTAGCGAAAATGTGTTTTACTTGGACACGATTCTATTTCTGATTTGAATAATGTTTCGTACAACGATAAAAGTCAACAAAAGGTACTCGACTTGCGGTTTTTAAATTTCACATTAGACCTATTTTGTTATTTAAAAGAAGAACATCACCTCAATAGATTTACTTCTTTGTAAACGTAAATAAATATAAAAGTAACGGAACAGAATGCGTTTCGCGTATTAATTACTTTTTGTGTGAAAGTTACGCAGATGTTCTCTCTATTTGAACGCACACACATCTAGTTCTTTCAAGCTCTTTGCATGCTTTTATAACGGATCATAAACTTTTCTCGAACGCATTCTGTCTTCATATTTCGCAAATCATCACTCCATAATTAGTTGTACAGTAACTATAGCTGTGGACCATTCATTATCTTTTTTATGGTCTTGTAAACAAGCATGCTGTTTTTTTTTCTTTTGAGTAATAAAAGAGCATGCGCATAGAATATTAATCATGTAGATTTACAATAAAGGATACCGATAACACGACACGACAATGTTCAACTTAACGGTAAAGCGTGATATGACAATAGGAATGCAGATTGAAATTTCTTAAGGTGAAAATTGGAAAACAATATCCAATTTACGAATATGGTTTTCTTTTCCACAAATATATTTTCATTCAATTCGGCTAAGATGTACGAAAGGTCTATTCCACTAGTCCCTACCAGCTATCCCCCCGGAAAAGCTATAATTATTTTTCCGGTACTTTCGACATTGTTTATTTACTATACATCCAATGAGCAATCACATATCTTACAAAGTACTTACATAAGTTTTGTTTACAGTGCCCCTCCTTATCAACCTTTAGTTATATGGGAAGGGCACATTACTTGTGCAAGCAAGCCAACACAAGGACCTTGTCAGTCACGTCCTGACCCCAGATCAGTCCGTTGACACAATCTTCATCCGGTGCTCAAAAGGCTATTGCCTTAGGTGAGTGCCCCCCGGTCCATGTACAACACCATCCCTATTATCTATATAGGTACCGGGACTGTTGATTCGCTCACCTCCCGCTGTGCATTGCACAAATAGCCTTTGCCACTATTACCACCGCTAGGCTGTTGACTCTAAACTCAGCTACTAAATGTCCACTTTGGTAGCGGAGCTGTCGGCTCACCCCCCGACACCGAAGCATCTCTCCGATTCCAAAATTCCTAACCGGTTGGAAGGACCGGTGTATATCCAGCTTATCCTCTACTAGTTCTCCGAACTAGTACCGGAGATGTCAGTCGCAGTGTCCAGTGACACGACATAGTCCATATCCGACATAGTCGGACATAGCATCCAACTTAAAGGGCAAATCCCTACAGCTAAATCACACAATCCCAGTCCACACGCAGAGTCCGGGACGTAGTGCAAAGAGGCGGAGGGCTCTGCCCGAATGCTCGCTGTACTTAGGTGTAACCGGGGAGCCCTATCCATCGGGTGGGTAGATGAGGAAATTTAATGAGCATGTGGAGCTTTTTTAATACCTCTAGCCCAGTCTTTTCAAACAATTGCATCTGTAGAATTAACAAGTTTCTCACCCGTAGTTGTGATTAGGTATAGTAGTTTACCATTCTACGTAATAGCAGTAGGTACCTACATGTGTACAATGGAAGATTTTATATAAGCTTTTCTGTAGGTATTTAGTCTAAATAAATTAACCAGAAACAAAGTACTACACTCTTTAATAAATTCACGCAACATAACATCTTGTTAACAACCCTAGTCCACAAACCAAGACTTCTACTCAGAATTAACATTGTTGATAAGGTAAACAATAAACATCCTTAATGTGACCACAACAAGAATGATTCCCCCTCACAATTTTGTTGACTTATTGCAATATTGTGTTTATGTGGCTTGTATGCAGTGGCGTAATAATAATATGTGCATCTGGCAAAATCTAAAACTAAATTCCTAGTTCTGTGACAGTGCAGTCTCAGGCTCCCTGGTTTTTAATGGGTTTTACGGCTCTGAGTACTTTGCCCTTTTGAGCTAAACAGACTCCTAGTATTTTGCTAATGTTGCCACCTTATTGTTATGCCACTGCTTGTATGTAAGCACTTGTGTATGCCGCTGTAATGTGTCTGTTTTTGGTTGCATCGCCTTGTTTGCCGCACGCAGCCCGGGGAGGAGCATCATTCGATGAGTGTAAGTAATGCCTGCGCTGTAACGCTCTCGTTTACACATTGCAACTTGCCTTCATTCGTGCAAGCTGACATTTAATGACCAGTCTCTCATCATCATCAACCTTTATTAGACGGATACAAAACGAGAAATGGCTGCACATAAATAAGATTGTTGATTGTTTACATAGACTGTGTTGCATACGACAATATTACATCATTTAGCCGCTGCTGAGATTGGTTATTCTAATGTTTGCCTTAAAAAAGCACATCTTGTTCAATCTTTCTTGTCTTCGGTCTATCTTATTTTTATCTGTTTGTTTTGAGTGCAGTTTGGTGACGGATTTGGTAAGGACTCGGTACTTGAAGCACTACTATTCACTGTTTTGCATCAGCACGTTATCTCGATTAGCCAAATCAAAGACTAGGAAGTAATCCTTTTTTTTTTTAATAAGTAAAATAACACGCAATGTCCCAAAAACTAATTCGGTTGTCCTTGTCTATGCATTATCCAAAAATCAACCTAGAAAGTTCATAATCGTAATACGTAACCATTATCAACTTTCAAATCTTGATGCCAAATGTATAAGACGCTTTACTGCCTAAGACACATGCCTAGATCGAGATATGACTTTGATACATACAAAAAGCTCTGTACGGTATTCTCGATGTGATATTGCAGAGCGAAACTCTCGACCCGTTGCTAGCGGCGTGCGCGGAGAGCCCCGCGCGCGGCAACGGGCGCCGCCCCCCCGCCTCGCCGCTGCACCCCGACGCCTGTGCCGAGATGCGTCGTCAGATACTCTATCTGCAGGTAACACGATCGTCATCATCAGCCGACCAGATGATATTTCGACAATATCCATTTTACGCCAGCTTATTTACACTTACCTCCGATTTTTTTCCATCTTCGAAATTGGATACGAAACATGTTGATGATACGGTACAAAGAACCTGACAACTGGTTTCGATATTGAGCTTTATGTTCCCCATTCAAAACTGCCGAAACGGAAATAACAAACATGGTTCTTGGACTAGAGTTAAAAGACTTCACATTAAAACCAAATTGACACTTCCTTCAACTGGTAATTTTAACGATGGGACTAATTCCAAAAGTACGAAATTGACAAAACCGTTTAATATACATTTTTGGGAACTTGCAGAGCCAGTTAGAGGAGCGCGACCGGCTGGTGCGAGTGCTGCAGCAGCAGATGCTCCGGATGGCGGAGAATCACGAGCCGAAAGCCGACGACACCTGCAATCGCGCCACGCAGACCGACCGGGTACCTGACCCTTATTCTATATTATCAACTTCTGTTATAGGCTAATCAGCTAACCAGTTAAATTTCAAAAAAAGATTAATGTCTAACACCATATCTAGTGCCACTATTTGAAAGTCTTAATAATTTTGAAAATCTCAAAATCAAATTCCCTTCACAGTTATAAAATGTGTATTAAATAGCTGTTTTACATAGGCTGATTCTTGGCTGAATAGACATAATTAACATAACAGCAATATTGCATTCATCATTACGTACATCAAGACTTTTATGTGAGTCAATGAAGCAAGAAGCTTTTTCTACAATTATCTGACCATTTTAAGAATTACACACATCCTCATGGATTAATTAAACATATAGCGTGCTTACTTAATCGGTGGCGTTGTCACGTTCCAGTTGCGGCCGCCAGTCAGCACGGCGCTAACGAGTTCTGAAAATTCCGGATTAGTGAGGTAACCACATCCTTTGTACTTTGCATAGGTAACACTCACTTTTTAATTAGCACCTTAACATTTGCAATATTTATTAAGCCCATTAATATAATTTTGACTTTTCTTCTATATTTTAGTTGCCTTCCGATAGAATCCATCCACGTTCCTTTCCCCGAGCTGGTTATCGTAGTTATTTTCAGTTTCATGAATAATTTTTATTGCTCACATGTCTGTTATTACTAGAGCTTTGAATCTTGCTGTATTTCCGCGTCTTGGGAAATATATCGGGACAAGATAGCGAGTGTGTTTTAAAAATAGGTTTCCATACATATAAACTAGGCAGTCACAACATGATATTTTAATTAAGTTCTTTATTAATTCAAATTATAAAATGAAAGTTGTTTTTTCATTTTTGTAATGGATGCTTAAGAAACAAAGGACATTTAGCACAGTTTTTAACCTAATTTTGTTACTACTGCTTATTCTTCAATCTCCACAAATTATACTAAGCAGCACTCTACACTCCACGTCCTTGTAGCCAGAATAAAAATAACTGGTTTAATAGATTTTCAATACTTTTTAATTAAGTGACTTAAATTTTTAAAAGTCTCGTTATTCCCAAAACTGAAAACGTCAATCTCGAGTCTCGGAAATGCCAAAAATGCGTTTTCAATTGTCCATATAACATCCATCAATCTGAAACGTTTTGACTTTTTATTTCGTATATCCATTCTTATTATTTCATGACTTACGTTTATTTGTTTAATTGCTATTTATTTAATTGCTTTATGTAGTTATAATTATTTATTGTTTTAGGTTAATCGCCGCCTCGGTACATACACTGAAATCTATTTTACGAAATTTGCATTCATCGATCACTGTCCTATACATACCATCAATCATACCTCCACGCTTCCTCTCGCAATGCAAAGAAAATTACACTTTAGCTTTACAAAACACAATATCTAAAAGTCAGTCATTGTACTCCGAATTAAGTAGTTCAAAGTGGATCATTGTATTCAGACACTACATGAATAGAAAGATGACTTTTGGTCCAACGTCAATGTGTAGAATGGCCCTTTCTGTGTCTCCATATTTCACTGGCGTCTTTATTTAAATGATTAATTTCTTTATAAGTACCTATTTAATTGTTATGTTGAGTACAAAACATTGTTTATATTGTTTTATTAATTATCATCACATTGTTTTTTTTTCATTAGTCGTTTATTTCCCATTACAAATTTTTGTAATTACATTTTGTTCTAATTCCTCACATGCTGCATTAAATTCTTTATGGAATTTTGGCAAAATGGCGTATGTTGTCGGATGGCAGTTTCCACTTGGGTGGCGCGAGGGTTCGTCCGTCGGATCAGGTAGCGTGGCTGGACTGCTTGCTCGCTGTTTGCCTCTTATGTTCCGTCAATGTTTTCTGCTTGCTGCATCTCTTGTACCAAACCTCGAGCGATGGGGTTTACTTGGTTTCCGAAAGGGATATCGACGAATATTGCTATAAACTCTTTAAGTGATTGGACTTGCATGCGTTTCTGCGAATTTATTAGTCAGAATTGTAAAACATTCGAACATCTCAAAATTTCAAAGGTTTGTTGAAAGTTAAGATATATCACAGTTCCATGTGCCTCACACCATCATGGTCTTTGACGTCTTAAATTTTATTGACCGAGAGCTGGTGGTAGTTGTTGATATGTGTGATGTTAATAGCATGATTTTGTTGAGTGGAAGGTTTGATTTTAACACGAAGTTGTATATTGGCACTCAATTGGCTATTTATTTGATCGGCTTTCGTTTTGGAAGAGTATAGGACGTAGTCTTTGTTTCGTACGTAGTCTTGTGAGTTGTTGAAAAGTTGTTTTGATATTTTTTACACTGATTTTAATTAGTAATGTACTGTGATTATGAAACTTACCTCTGTGTTACACGCTGCCCCATCAGAACTTAAAGGTGAGAGTGTATGCAAGTAACACTACACGCTAATTCCACTATGTCCTTGTAAATAAAGTTTGTCCTGTCGTGTAATTGAACAGAATATGTCTTACATTATTACTCTTCTATATTTTGTATTAAACCAATAATACAACTGGATTTTACAAACATTTGTATTGTCAATGTTTTTATAATGCAAAATATTCACACGAAATTTTTCTCGCAGTTGGAATGAACAAGCTAGCGGACGGAAGCTGCCGTTGTTTAGTGAAGCACAAAAGACTAAGAGACCTGTAGCCAACGGGACTGTAATCAAAATATGCCAGTGTGGGGGGAGGAGAGTGAATGGGTTGACGAATGAGGAGGAAAGAAGGGATCCCGTACAGTTAAGGACGACCAGTCGCGTGGGATCGAAATACTTGCAAGCCCTCGCGAACAGCGGTGCCGAAGCCCGACGCTACGTGAAACGTGACTCGTCCGTTGGGGAAAAAACTGACCGGAAAACCATCATCTATTCCACGCGATCTCGCTCAATAGAGAACTTTCAAAACCACACCTATGCTATAAACGAACCCTTGCTTGCGAAAAAAGCCGTCATCGAAGAGTCCTCGCTTATCAAGCACCATACATCTTACGGCGACCTCTACAACGGCCGGATTAGCAGCAAAGAAAGCGTGAACGGCAATAGACATAGTCCTAGTTTAAATGGTCAATCTACTGACACAGACTATAGTTCTGACGGTGGTTATAAATCTCTGCCGTCTTCTATTAACTGCAACGGACGCTCTCCGAAGAAGGTGAGCGGCATTCCCCGAAGATCGATGGAACAAAAGTTCATTTCCACTAAACATGTGAAAGCGAGCGCAATTTGAACGCACAGGGAGTGATTGAATTGGTTGATTGTGATATCTATAGATAGGCCGGCCTATTTGGTAACACCTTGGAACATCCGTGTAGATACGTCCAGGTTTTCAGGTCCAGTTTCAAAGTTATCTTTTTCGATATATGGGTGGTTAAGTATTTTAGTTTCTGAGGTGTATCGCAGGGTCGAAGGCTCGCTTACGCAATGTTTTAAAGCAACAGTGCCATCAAAACCTGGAGTCGAAACGCCCCGGGCGGCACTCGAGCAAGGCTTGTTCGCATTTATTTCCACTCCTTACGAGGCTATATGTAAGCTACATTTAATTGTTGGATGCCAAATTATAATCGGTATATTCATCTTAAAATATATATAATTAGAATCTAATATGTGAATGTAAAATCTGTTCTTTTTGTTTGACGTGAAATGTTCCGTTTCGTAAGTGATTGCTTCGAGCATTTTGTTTTATTAATTTCTAGATTGACCTCTGTATTTACGTACTCTGTAATTATATACACATAGAGAACGAACTCATTTTCTGTAGAGTTTAGTTACAAATTTGTATACAGACGATAAAATGTTATCTTAGATTTTCTATGGTAGACAAACTAGTAGATAAAGCTGTAATATGTGATAAGGGTGGCTGTTAAGAACTCATATTAAATACTTTCTTGGTAATCAATTAGCGGTTTAACATTGTATACAGTTTGATTAATTGGAATATTTACTTGTCTATGTGTGATACTACCATAGTAACATAGGACAAGTATGGTAACTCCGTACAAACATAGCAACGCGGCTTGTATGTGTGCGCGCCCTTCAAGTGCCGTGTATGGACGCACACATCCGCAAAATGCAAATTTTTTATAATATCAAATGACGGCACGTCGAGCGCCTGTCCATGACACTTGTAGTACCAATCAGAACTTTAAATCGAAAGATCAAGATCTGAGGGGCACTGCCCGTAACCCTGAGACATAGTTGACAAGTCACCCCGTCCCTTCACAACCGGAACGCAGTATTACTAACATAGTAATGTTAGTATTGTCTGCTTGGCGCAGAAATAGGTAAGGCCTTTCATTATTATAGTGGTGTTCCATTATGGGCGGGTAGATTTTGCCAGTTCATAGCGGCCATGTTGTTGAGGCTGCTTTTGTCAAAAATCGAATCTGTTGCATATTTTTCAGTCATTAAAGACAAATTATGGCAAGTTGCAGCGTCGAGCAACACGTGCAAATGATGAAAAAGTATTATCAAAATGGCTGTTCTATTATTTGTGGCAATAATGCGCACGTTTTAATGTTTACGTGGTCGTCCTTCCCTGTCGACTGTTCAAAGAAGCCCTTGATGGAAAATCCTTTTTAAGCGAATGTGTGCGTCCGTACACAGCGTGCAGTGAGCGTGCACACATGTAAACCGCGCTCCTGCGCATGAATTGAGTTACCATACTTATTGTATTATTATACTATGATACTACTTTGTTTGCTGTATAAAATTCTTTAGAAAAAGACAGTAGGTATCAAATAGGTACAAAACTTCTTAAGCTTAAAGAGCATTTTTGTATTTTAATCACAAATTGTCATTTTTAATGCATTTGTCGTAATGTATTGTAATGTATTTAGCCGTTGAAAGTAATTGTTAATGTTCCGAAAGCCTAATACATAAGTACCTATCATATTGATACCTAGAATATAATTATCATTAATTGTACCTCTCTGTGTATGTACTTGGCTACGTCATCTACTCATTATATTGCGCTTTCCTACGTTAGTTACGTAAATCTAAGCCTTTAGTAAAAATTATATTTCATTTAAATTGAAGTTGTTTCAATATAATTTTAATTTTGATTTTTTGTTTTCTTTTACCTTTTAGTAAAGACACTTGGTAGGGGTTTTTTTAAATAAAAATGGACATATTTAGAACAATGCTAAAGCTGTTAAATTATGATAACATAACTCTCATATAAACCAATGGCCACATATACCATACTCTAGCCAAATTCTATGTAAAATAACAGTGAGAGTCAGAATGGTGGGTCTATCTTAACGGATCCTTTTTTTTTTTTTTTTTTTGACGGGGGGGAAATCTTTATGGATAGGTACCCCTGAGCCCAGGGAGACTCAGGGACCCAGGGAGACTCAGGGTATCTTAACGGATCCTGACAAATTTAGTGCCAAAAAAATTATTTTTTGACTGTCAATATGGCGGGTGTATCTATGATTTTGCTATAACTTCGTTCTGATGGAGGTACAATTTTTATAAGCACCAGATCCTATAATAGTACAATTTAGGTACATGATTTGGTACTAAATTTGACAGGATTCGTTAAGATACACCCGCCATTCTGACTCTGACGGATAAAACATGTCAACGAACTAACAAGACTTTTTTAGGGTTTTCACCTGATCACTGTTTTACAGTTCCCACAATTTCAATATTTTTCACCAAAATTCGATAAGGCTATTGATAATACTAACCTCAAATTCATATCTGTGATTAATTTCGTACAATAGAATTTTCAAAGCAAGTCATTCAAAACCATCGAGTACATAACATGTACCTACTCGAGATTGAAAACCAACATAAAAATTACAAGTATTTAATTATTTATGGAACTGCGTCATCCCTAATTTTTTTTATTTGAAATGAGAGTTTACAAACATTTCTAGTTCGAGTTCAAAATCGGAAAATGACGCTGGAGGAGATATTTTTTTTTAATGTAAAGTAGAACCCAAACGAGCGGACGAGCCACTTGATGGGAGGTGGTCTTAGAAGTCCATGGACATCTGTAAAGAGCTGCCTACGCGTTGCCAGCCTTTGAGAGCCGTGTTGACATGCTTTCTGAAGAACCCCATGTCATAGAGCTCCACTTCAAATAAGGAACGAACGGCCTGTGTAGACTTGCAATGCCAGGCATCTATGATGTGGGGATGGGCTCAACTCCTTTGGCGGGAGGTGCCGTGGTGGAAACGAGACGGTGGCACCAATTCGAAAAGTTTCTCTGAGCACTCCCCGTTATAAAGACGGTAGAACACACACAGAGAGCCAACGTCTCTCCGTAAACTAAGGGGCTCCATACCGTCTGTGAGTTTGGGATCATCGATAATATGAACAGTCCTACGTTGGAGTTGATGTAGTAAATTAATATAAAATAAAATCTTGCAATTTTCTTTCTTTTCATCTAATATTACCTACTATCTAACAGTAAGTGAAAAACAAATTATTTTATTCATAAATCATTATATATCAGTAGGTAGGTACTTCGTAAATTTTACAACATCCACTATATAATCAGAAATAGAGATGAAATGTCATTTAAACTACTAAACTATTCTGCCAAATCATTTCTTTGACAACTGCGCTCCGATTGGTCAGCCTGAATTTGAACCAATTCACGTGAGACGTCAATTGTTTCACTTCAAGCTGACCAGTTTAACTTGAGCTTTGCTATAATGGACGATAATTGAAAAATTACATATTTAATGTTTAAGTACCGATGAAATGTGATTCCGTTTGTTTTGTAATTAGATGTTTTGTTGTTTTTCTCACACCACCGAATGGAACAGCCCCAATTGTTAGAGATATTATCTTTATTACAATAAATACAGAATATTTTTTTGGAATATACGGCCAACTAGTGACCTGTGTACGTCTCCACGTACATACAGGTCAGTAGTTGGCCTGTCTATATTCAGTGCAAACGAGAGTTGATATTTATAAGAGCTGTATCGCTAATGTGTTACCAGGAATATATGGCCTTTATTTCGTCTCTATTTCTGGTTATATACTAGGTATTTTACAACAATTGGCCAGTTAGGTGTTACTTCTTTCTTTATAATCCAATTACCTACTCACCTATTTAAAATCTAATTACGCGAGCAGGCCGTAGTCAGAGATAGCATAAATTAATATAAAGAAAAAAAATATTTTCCCATAGCGTCATTGGTAATTAGCATAGACAAAAAAATGATCTTTTTCTATGCCGTCATTGGTTGCCTAGCAACGTTTTGTTCTTAAACTTTTTATGTCAAGTTTTGCTTTGCTGCTGCCTAAACTACATATTACTTAATAGTTACTACGTAACAGATACATCACTCTCACACAAAATCGAAAATACCTACGCTATAATAGCCTAGTTAGTCTGACTAATGACACCGTCGACAGGCGTGTTGCTTATCACAAGTCGTGCGTCTGGTGATAAGCAACACGCCTGTCCATAGCAATTGCACTGCCACTCAGAGCTTTTTTTGGCACTGACACTGCGGCTGACACGTTGAGACATAAGTTGACAAGTCACTTAATACTAATCTCAGCAGCACCCTTACCCTTCAAAACTTACTACGTTTCTACGTAGTAATGCTCATTTTACTGCTTGGCGTCAGAAATAAATTAGACGGCAGTACTTACACCCCTGGACGAGCTCTGCTGCTACCAAAAATATGTCATTTGTCAAATGTCGCCGTATTTACACTAATTAGAATTTTGTATAAGTTACTACAGACTGATTTATTTTATATGCAAATTGGTTAGTTACAGGTTTATCTAATGTCAAACATCAATATATTACATAAAGGACGATGACCGATGCAATATGGAGGAATGCCCTAACTTTAAGCTGGCATGTCCATAAGCTGTAGTTTTTCATTTTATTTTAAAGCAGCTTATTTGAACATTATTAATAATAATAATAAACTTAACTTACTGGCGTATAGCTTACCATCAGGCGCACGACTAGTTCGTCCCGCCACTTGATGTTATATAAAAATAGTACTTTTCGTAACCTATAACTGTTTAATAATCAAACAATCTTATAGAATTAAATCCCAAGTTAAGCATATTGGGAAAAAATACCAGGCTGTTTTTCAGCATCCAACTGCGCTTCAGTAGGTAAGTTGTCCTGCCTAGTTGTGATCTCCCCAAAACTTTTTTCTTAAAAATAAGCTACACTGCAACTCACACATCTGGCAACTCAGCACAATAAATATAATAAATTGCTATAAATTAAAAAATAATAATAAACTGCAATCTGTGACTTTCGTCGCCATTAACACCATTAATAATGAACCGAAAATGCAACAGAATTACAATTTCTTTTTTCATTCAGAATAAACTACTGCTTTAATGAGTTGTAGATTATTATAAAAAATGTAGTTTTAATTAATGTACTATAATTAAAAACATTAATTTGCTGGACATTTTAAGTAAGATGAAGGCAGTATTAGTATCATCCTTTCTAAATATGTATAGTATATTTTTTTTATTTTCTTTTTTAAATACTAAGTGACAGGAAGGTACAAGCTGTGCACCTGATGGTAAACGACACGCTTGTCTAAAATAATTGCAGTGCCATTCATAGCTTTAAATCGAAAAGATCTGTGCACTGCCTCTTTGCCCATCACCCTGAGACATAAGCTGAAAAGTCCCATGTGCCTATAATTTCACCAGCACCCTTGCCCTTCAAAATCTCGCAGTAATGCTCACGTTACGGCTTGGCGGCAGAAATAGAAAGGGGGGCAGTACTTCCCTGGATGAATTTTTTCACAAGGAATTTTACTGCTATTAAATATTATTATCATTGCATACATTGATGTCCCGTAAGTGTAGAAGTACTTAGTTTTAAGCTATTATGTTCAATATTAATTATTTAATACATTTAATGTAGTGTGGTCTATGTAGAATATCCTGAATTAATAATAAGTAAATAAATGTCCACTTGTACTCAACGCAAAAGACACTCTTTGGAAATGTCCTAATACAGTCCAAATACAATAGTACTAAGTTGGTCTTATCAGTTTAAGCACTATTTTAAGACGTATTTAAGTTTGATATAACTGAACATTAGGGTACGATTTTGTATAATAACAATATTGATGCAAAAAGATCGCCCTCTACAGGAATAATTAAAAACAAATTGAAATGTCAACGAAATAGAACAGTAGCAAGCAATGTTTCAACCTGGTCGTGAAAATACAAATTTAAATAACAAATACATTGGTAGATACTTACAAAAAGATGACCTTTTATAGAGGCATTGCTAATTGGAATTTGGACCCGTAAGTAGGCAGGTAAGTATGTAGAGACGATTAAAAAACTATACATCAACAACTAACAACAAGAGTGCCGACAAGCAAGTGATAGGCATATTCCAGCTGCTCGGTCTTGGACCTTGGACAAATCGATAAGCGGAATCACATCGCCCACTCGGCACACGGCATCACACGACACAAGGCATCGGTCACTCGACTCGCTCGCCGGCACATCCGCGTCTGCGCTACAACCGGCGCGCGCGCACCCAAAACATTTACACTACAACGAAGTGCGTGAATTTAAAAACAAAATTAAATCAGTGACTGTGTTTGTTCCAAAGGTCGTTTTGGATATACGGAAAAAATAATTAGGTAAGTGGACATTTGTTACAATATTTCATTATATAAATTATAATTTTAAAGATTATAACGTAAAACGGCGACCCTTTTGTAGAAAAATCCGTGACAGAAAAGGAAATTTTAGAGCCAAATTAATAAAGTGACTATTCAAAAAGAATTCAGAATAACTTTCGATAAAGTAGTTGACAGTATCTCTTACTCTATACAGATATGTACTTTCACCCTAAAATGACCTTTTGAAAAGTTATAGAAAAAAGTAACCATGTACCAACAATGTACGCATTTTAATATTTAAATTCACCTCTAGGCTATTTATGATAACATGATTTAAAAATCCATGAATAAGTGTGTAGAAAAAAAACAGGAAAAAGTTGCAAAAAAGAGTTGGATAATATTATAATAACGTTAAAAGCTAATAGTCTAAAGTCTGCAAGGATTGAAACGAAGTAAGTTGACACTATGACACATTGACTTTCAAGTGTACTTAGAGTCGGACACAGAAACATGTAGAATTTTATTATTTTAAATATATACGTCTACGAAAAGTCTTCGAAGAGACTATTCAAGGCGAGAGTGAATTGGGATTTTCAAACCATTGTTTGTCACATCATCGCCTAACACGAGGCGACATAGTGGCCAAGCGTGCGTTTAATTTACGTTAAAAAAACTTTATGTACACATTAAAGTGTTGTAAACATATCACAAAATATTAGCTCAATAGTGAAAGCTATAACTGCCAAGACTGGATTTATAATAATTAAATTAAAATAAATTTTAAAATAATATATTAATTAAATAAAATATTTATAAACTCTTGGGTCTAAGAGCGTACATACTTTACATCCGGCCCCTGATAACTATGGCAGAATGCCTTTATTATTAGTAGATACCTTTGGTCGCTTTTGACATGGCAGTTTGGCGTATCACACATTTCAATGCCAAAATTAATCCTCGTAAAAAGTCTTCTATTAGGTACTTCAACTGTGAATTGACGCATAGGTATATTTCTCGATCGCTTAATGCATTGTTTTTGGAGAAAAATATGTGTCAGGATCCTAGCAAGTGAGAGGCTGTGGTCTCAACGGACGGGAAAAGGGCGTGAAGTGTATGTTACTTAATTTAACTGTATACTATACATCAATTATCACTTAATCATCCGCTGAAACCGTGTAACCAACTAATAGCTACTGCTATCATGTAAACTTAGACAGTGTAAATACATAACAAGTAAGGGAATTAATGGAAATTTTTCGATAGGAATTCTTATACGACGAACGAAGTAAAAAACAAGGATAGTGTGACATTTGCCTAGTATAAGTGTAAGAGATCTTCTCCTGACGTGCTCTCTATGTTGGATTCAAGAGTTAGGATCTAGTCGGTCTATTAAGCGCCATTTTGTTTTCTGCAAAGCTTTTTCTTTGACCTCTATAATATACTACCTACGTAGTTTTCGCAGGTGGCATTTTGACAAGTTCTTGATGTAATTCTAATGCAATAACAACGAAAATGTTTACACTGGAAGGTATATTTCGGTAACAACTTTGAACGTTAAAATTTGGCTTTAAATATATAATAATTGACAATAATATTCATAACGACATATTTATTTACTCTGACAAAAGCAAGCTTTTGTAAATAAATTGAATAACAAATAAATAAAACTTATTTAACTACTTTATACGAAAAGACTGGTGACGTCCGTATTTGGTATATAGTTTTTATTTTGGTTATCATCTACTTATACGTGGGCCGAAGCCCACTTTTGAATTCATCATCATCGGTTTTATACCTCTTTAGTGACTTGCTTTTCGGCGCGATAGTAGGTATCTTTATTATAAAACATTGTAAAATCAAAATCAAAAATCAAAATAATCCTTATTTCATAAGTAAGCATTATTTTACTCGAAATCGTCATATTGGTTAAACTCTACCACTCATTCGTAAGGCAGTTTCCCTTGAGAAGAATGAGCAAGAAACTCTAGGGGTTGCTCTTTGTAAATAACATTTGTACACATTCAACATTTACAATATTTTTTTGTCAAACGTCAGCGGTGGAGACTATCTCCATGAGCTAAACGGGTTACTACCACGGATTTTTGTCATCCAAGTACGCAGAAATTGTATATGTAATAGCCTTTAGTATAAAGTTTTTGTTTCACTATAATTTTAAGCCTCGTGAATGGCAAAGTTTGTATATTAACCGGAATCTTGTTGTAGAAGTGTATACATTGCCCCTTAAATGAATTTGTGACTTTGTGAAGACGACGATCAAGAACAGCTAGTTTATTTTTATTCCTCGTTTTAATGTTATGTCTGTCACTATTGTTCATAAAGAAATTACTATTCCTGTTAACATAAATTACATTTTCATAAATGTACTGTAACGCTAGTGTAAGTTATGTAAGTTTCGTTGAACTTACTTTTAACTTACGTTTGAACTTACGTTTAACTGTAACATCGTTTAGTTTTTATATAAATGGATGAAAACACATAACACAGTGAACTCGTTAAAGTTTGTAGAGACAGCGTTCTGTCTCCCGTTGAAGAGAGCAGATAGCGAGTTTATCTCAAACAGGGTCACCGACAGGGCGACATCAACTCCGCTTGGGCGTTATACGTCCGCCTAGTGCCAGACAGAAGTTTCACCTTCGGTTCAAAACAGTTGCGGTCGAATACTACATCCATCTACTCCGCCAGACTCTAAAATAATCCTCATTTTTAGCACTAGTTTTTGCTGTAACAGGGATGAAAATTATTAGTCTGTCTATCTAATATGATAAATCCCCACAGCCCGTGACATCATGAGCGCACCGATTTGTATGGGCGAGCTCACGAAACGGGCGAGTACGGGCGGCCTCGGGCCGACGCGTGTGGCAGCATGTATTCCGATGTGTCTCGAGAGCACAGGCAGTGCGTGCTCTCCCGCCGCGCCTTTGAAGTTACCGATCAGTGGCGGAACGCGGAACCGAAAAAGCCGCCACGGGCGAGCACGGACGCGCTTGGGCGAACACAGGCGTGCTCTTTTTCCACGGCGTGTTTTCGGCCGTGGGCCGTGGGAAGCCGCCTCAAGAGTTAATCCTGGGAAGTACTACTACAATCATAGCTTTTTTAGTAACAGTTGAGCTTCTTGTGAAAGAGATCATCGAGGGAAGTACAGCCACCTTACCTATTTCTTCGGTCAAGCAGTAATGTGAACATTACAGCGTTCCGTGCGTGTTGGTGAAATTACAAGCACATGGGACTTGTCAACTTATGTCTCAGGGTGTCGGGCGCAGTGGCAGTGCCCCTCATTTGTGATTTAAAGCTCTGAATGGCACTGCAACTGTTATAGACAGGTGTGTCGCTCACCACCATACACACGACTTGTTCGTATCGTCACTTAGTTATTATATTTAAAAAAAAAGCTATTTGTATTACGAAATAGTAATCTAAGAGTTACTTTTAAAGGGTAATGATGCTGGTGAAATTACAAACAAATGACTGTCTTCGTGGTCGAGTGGCTTGCACGGTTTTCATGGTGTCGCCATTTCTGAGGTCCCAGGTTCAATTCCCGGCCGTGTCAGTGTAGAAAAGTAACTTTTCTGTATTGTCTCGCGTGTGGGTGTCGATGGTACCTCTGTTGTTTCCGATTTCCATAACATAAGTGCTTTGGTTATTTACTTTGCGATCACAGCAACGTATGTGATATTGACTAATGACACTTGTAAGTATATTCAGGATGACAGCGATCTTTGCGATTTAAAGGTCTGAGTGGCACTGCAAACGCTATCAAATCATTCGTTTCTGAGTAGTGAAGGCAAAAAATTGAGTTACGTTTGCCACTATTTGTCATAAAAAAATTATAATATTAATGAGTGCCAAAAAACAAAAACGTCGTATTTTTGCTGATTAACAGAATCTCCTTAAACACGTCGATGTGTTCCTGAATAGAATAACGTCACTATATTTGTGAAATTATCAATACCAATTTAATAATATCTCGATATGTTACATGACGGGTACAGAGGCATAACCATTTGGAAAAAAATAACTATTTCACTTCTCATGCTCTTAAATTTCGTATTTATGCTGAGTGTAGGCTGCATAAAATGGATTTTATGCTCTAGTGCATAAAATAAAAAACCATCACATTAAATATGTCTAATTGTTGTAATGTTACGTTCAATTTTATTTAAATAATCTTTTATTTGCAATATTGCGTTTAATTTCCTCGCAATTGAAGTGAAAAGCAGAGTGTATAACTAGTTCGTTGTATGCAATCATTACATAATTAGGTTTTAAAATTTCGACCCTATTTCTTAAGCCACTCGGCTTAATAACATTCATTATACAACAATTGCATAAAATACCATATCAGTAATTGTTTTTCTTTCAGTTGTACGAAAATCATTAAAAACCTAAATCATTAAAAACTACATAATCGGCGCTATAGTTTAAATTACGTTAGGTTAGTCATTCATTTACGCACAAAGTAATCATTAATTTGGCGTCTACATACAGTTAGGTTTGTAAACAACACGTTACTAATACGTCACTACAACGCTGGTAATGATCGATATAAAATCTTACGCACGTAAAATACCGGGTTTATTACAATCTCTACCAATTACCTTTATATACTACTTAGTTTTCAATCAACGTATAGATGAGATAATGAATTTGTCGAAAATATGCGGTGTACCCTCTACATTCTATCTAAGAGCTCGTGTTGCCTCCTCTATTTCTAACTAGAAGCTCCTAGATCTCTTTATAGCTTACTATGTTCTCTTTTATTTCCTCACTAAATGCGATTCTCGATCTTTCTCTCCTGCTGTTTTCTTCTGTCTTCCCTTCAATGCTACAAACACCTTTTTTAAAATCTTTTTTATTATTTTTTTAATTTCTATTATTTTCAAAGATTTCTTTATGACGCCAATTTACGGGACGAATAAGTCGCGTCGTGTTAGGCGACACGCCTGTGCATAGTAGTGACAGTATCACTCAGAGTTTTAAGTCGTAAAGGTCTGAGAGGTACTGCCACTGCACCCGTCACCCTGAAACATAAATTGACAAGTCCCAAGTGCCTGTAATTTCACCACGCGTGCCGGTTTTAAAGGGTAAGGGTGCTGGGGAAATTGCAGGCACATGGGACTTCTCAACTTATGTCTTAGGGGTCAGGGTGACGGGTGCAGTGGCGGCGCCTCTCAGATCTGCGTGATTTAAAGCACAACTATTATGGACAGGTGAGTCGCTTACCACCAGGCGTCCCGTCACATAGTATATCGTAAAAAAAATCTTCAAATGATATTTTTCTTACTGCATGCCGTTTTTACTACGTTTAATAATTGATTAAATTTCTTATCTACAAATTGTTTATACGAGTACTGATCTCAAAACGGATATAACATTATTCATGAATAGCAATTTCTTTTCACCACAAACATCTCGCAAGTTTATTATCAAAATGGTATGTGCACGCAAACAAATGTAGTAATAATACCTCTTTACAAGCATACATACAAAAATGTTAAACAGAAATGCGAGAAGAAACGTAACCTGCCACAACTCTACATAGCAAAGTACTTATTACCTTTTGACGGCTTTCTCCGTAGACAGAGAAAGTGACGTTATAGCTAGTACAGCGTCTCAGAAGTCTCGACGGATCACGATGACGGTCAGTTAGTCACAATGAATAAACCAAGGCAAAATAGACAAAGTTTTTGGCTCGTAGTTTAGAGTAAGTAAAAAGTGAGAAGATGTCCATAATATTAACCTTAGAACTAAGTCTAAACTCATGGTATCGCGATTTCGTTTAACTAAGTTTAAGGTAAACGATTCTTTTATGGGGATCTGTATGTGATTTTACAATAAGATTCCGAAGTATATATTATCATATCCTAAGTTTAAAACTTACTTTAAAAATATTTTAATTGAAAAACCACGTTACAATATTGACGACAACGTATTACATAAAGATGTATGGAAAGACGACATGACTCTAGATTCCACACAAATTTGATTTAAAGTGTATTCCAGGCGATTAAGTTTATTTGAAAAGAGCATTATGAAACTTAGGGTTTCTTGCTCGCTCTTCTCAGGGAACTCAGTACAGTGAACGAGCAGTAGCTTAAAAATGCGTCAAGTGTGAATTTATTTTACCTATGGAATAAATGATTATTTGACTTAGACTTAGAATAGGTACGTCGGGACTTACTTAATACGGGAAAATTATTAATATATTTCTTTAATTACACAAAATACAGGGTGTCCTGCGGTTATGGGATACGAATGAGAGAAAATAACGTCTCTTTGAGACAAATTATCTATATTTAAGGACAATACTGCCCTTACCATAACTTACGTTAATTACGAAACGAGATCTACAACTATCATACTACTTACTATATCTACTAATATCTATAAGCGGTTTTTATAACTTATTTAGTTTCAATTTTAATGTTCAGCAAATAAAACATTTTGAAACCAATATTTCCAAAGTTACTAACCTGTCAAAGGACCTGTCAAATATGATGGTGCTAAATATAACGTCATTTGGTTTTTATAGATATAAATGAAAACCAAACATTTATATTGTAATATTACTTTATATTTGTGATAGATTTATTAGCAGTCGAACTGCCACCTCACCTATTTCTACCGTCAAGCAGTAACATGAGCATTTGAAATTATAGTCACATGGGACTTGGCACCTTATGTCACAGGGTGACGGGCGCAGTGGCACTACCCCTCAGATCTTTGTGATTGAAAGCTTTGAGCGGCACTATAACTGTTATGGACAGACGTGCCATTTACCAACAGACGCACTTATTCGTCCCGTCACTTGTTATCATAAAAAAAAGCTAGGGATAAGCAACAATTTGTATGGAGTAAAATTGTTATTAATACAGTTTGCTCAGAACGTGGTATTTTTCGTACTACAAATCGTGCCGAAAGTTGGATTTTTCGCACTAGTGCTTTTTACTTTTCCATTTTTTTTCATTTACTGTTGTTTCAAGTCTTAAACATAGAACTAAAGAGGTTGTATATTTATTTAATATTTATGTGCTTTGTGACGTAAGTCATTCGTCATTAAAACTTATATTTACTTACAAACATCTTATTTGTTTAAATTGCATAGGTGTTTTATAAAACAACACACACTTACATTTAAAAATATCAAAATTTTTTCCATAAAGATGGCTGATTGAGTATTAACAATGACCGGAGGTGAGCATTACGCGAGACCGTTGCGCACCGCCGCCGCACCACTAAAATATACTGTTTTATTTTACTTCCAATCTAGTTTTTTCGCAAATGTATTAAAAAACGTCGTTTGATACACGTGCGGATTTGTCATTTTCACTTGTCTCGAGTCTTGACCGTCATGACAATAATGACTAACTTTCCGCACTTGTATCAAAAATAACTATTTCGAAAGCCTCATACCTGGTAAATAACCTCGGTCAGCCATGTAAGGAGCTTCATAATTGTATTCACGTTAACGGCATGCGTGGTACAATGTCATGTATAGATATTCCAGGTACAGGGTCAAGACACGTCAAGCTTGACACTTAAGATTTATATCCAACTCTATGCTGCTTACGATAAGGACAGTCCAAAGTACAAAGTGTCAAGCTTGACGTGCCCTTAACTGTACATATATTATAAAGAGTAATTGAGCTTGAGAGAGCGTGCTGTGTTAGCCAATAAGTATGGTGTATATTTACCTTTAAACTTGGTAACGTGTTGTACATTTACTATTATTGTATATAATGCAATTATGCATCATGTTAGCTTTCCTATACAATAAATAAATAAATATATACACGCACGCTTGCGTAGCGGTATGACAGCCACAGGTATTAAAAATACCTGTAAACAGTACCTACTTGGCCTTTAGACGAATAGTACGTTTTCAACGATTATCGAGTTTTGGTAATTTGTATTCGATTGGCGTAGGATTTCATAATAAGCGGAACGAGGTTAAGAAGTAGAACTGCAGTATTTATTTAGTCCGCTGTAGTGCGTACGCACGCTAGCCTTTACTTTTTTGTAACGAATTGTTGAAATCCAAGAATTTTCCAATATTTGCTATCTAAATGACGTAAGCAACCATAACGCAACCATCCAAGTAAGTCCAAGTCAACTACTACAGATATTGTGTATATAAAAAAGAGTTTAGTAAAAAAAAGATTATATGTACACTCTTAAACCACCAACGTACGTTGATTATACAAATCGACAGATAAATGAAAAAGACTACTTTTCTACCTTGGTAATTTCTAAAAAATCAGGTTACATTTCTCTACCCTTGATGGTAATTTTTATTATTCAAGTATACTATCGTGATGTATCAAATAATATCTCAGGATACCACACTCGAATACAAAATAATACTTTATGAAAATATTCTAGAACAATTAAATAATAAAAATTGCCACAGAAATTAGGTAGAGAAAACTATTCTGAAAATTACCCACCTTCGTGTCGCAATTCCTTGTAAACAAATGAAATCTCATGAAATACAACTTCGCAGAGAATTATATGAAACCAGAAAAAAAGAGTATAGATAAAAAAAAACATTTTCTGTAAAGAGTGTTGGGTCTGTGTGAGAAATAGAGAGAATGTATAATATATTTTGTTAAATTTCTATAAACGAGAAAATATAACTTCCCACATTAATTCTATTAATCAATCGAAACCTCTATTTATATTGACAAATAATAACAACAAACTCGTTTGCAGCGATAACCGCCGGATGCGTCAGCGAGGGCTGCGCGTGCGCAGATGAAATGGGGCCGGCGCGGAAGAAAGGCGTGCGCTCGCGTCTTGCCGACGAAATCTATACCTGCTGCGCGTTTTGGATCGCCGTCTCTGCACTTCCGGCGCTAGCCATCTCTTATGTCGGTAAGATACTTTCCAAATAATAAAAATTAAATTCTCTCTTTGCTTAAAAGTACCGTCTTTATCACGCTCGTGACGATAGTGTCTTGATTGTTTTTTGAACATTTTTCCGTCGATATTAACCATCTGAGTTATATATATATATATATATATATAATATATTTTAGGCGTTTATTATAGATAGTTTTCTCTTATCTAATTGAAACGGAAATTAATGAAATGGTTCACACGGGAAAACAATCGACAAATGTATATATAATGTAAAATATATAAAGTCAATCATTCCAAACATAGCCTACTTAGATTTCCAGATATAATTTGACAAAAGAGCATATTAAATTAACGTTTTGCAACAATAGTAGGACCTACTTATTTACCTCAATGCATGCAGTCGAAATACTACTAAATTCGTGAAGCGTGAATAACAAACCAAGCGCTATTGTGTAACTTATGTACACCGCTCTGATATATTAATAAATATATAATTAATATGTCGAATTAATTAAAAGTATAGACTTAGAAATTTAGAAATTGTTGTAACTTATGTTGTAATGGTTACTATAAAATTAAAAAGTGTGCATCTGGCTGTTCATCGCGGCATTCTGGTCCCAACCCTAATTTATGATAGTGAATAGTGGGTATGGCAGAAGAAGCATAAAAATAGGGTGAATGCTATTACATATTAAAGCATAGTACGTGTGTTATTCTTTTAAAGGCAGTAGATATCAGAATAAGTAAAGTTTATAACTTTTATTATAACTAGACATAAACGAAATTTTAGTCTGTTAGTTGGTTCATAAGCAATCGTTCCTTTTAAAAGTGTGTGGACTGAGTGAGCATAAGAAAGTATTTGTGATTAAAAATGATAATCTGACAAAACTAGTACACGAATATTGCATGCGAACTTAATACTTATCTAGACCTGACTGGCTCTCTGAGAGAACAGAGTGAGCACACATTAAGTGATTTTTCTTTTTTACACATAGAAAGATTGGCATCTACCTATGTTTTAAAACTTCTACTAAATGACTATTATTCTAAATTTTTTACAGAGAATGCTCACTCAATCCACACACACGTGATTATTTTTACTAAAATTTCAAATAAGTAATACTTTCAGTGGATACTAGGGCATTTTTGAGAGTCTATGTTGATATTTTCAATCTTTGGAATATATAGAAACTTTCGAAACTTAATTCAGTTAATTAATTAAAACACTATATTAAACCGAGCCAAATCAATATTAAACCTGTAGTATTTTTTTATTCTGCTTACAATTTCATGACGACACTGTAGATTAGAACTTAGTATAATCTGTGGGGCTTGAAAAAATATAGTAATAAATAAATAATAACATTAAGCGCCCTTTGTTTCTTTCATGCCCACAATAAAAATTACTTCCATTAAATAAATTTTGATTTTCCAGTTTGAGTAATAAACAAGTTCATTTTTTTTCGACATTTGACAACAATATTTGTTTATTCATTCATTCAAATACTAAATTAATTAAAATGTCAATCCGCAACGTAGGCTTCGTCAGGTAGACTCAGATATAAATCAGCAACAGGCTTAATATAATATATAATAAAATCAGTAATGCAATTCGCCAGGTTTAGTCATTTTTATTTAACTATAAGATATAATGGCTCGCACTGAATCCTAGCTGGTTCAAACATCCCAATAGCACTGGCAGGATTACCACGCTGAATGGCCAACGAAATATGTTGCACCAAGATTCAGAGCGTGGATCACAGCCCTATGTCTAAACCGACGACCCTATTGTCTGATGAATTCCTTGGCCTCCGCACCCCAAGTTCCCGCAGTGTCCACAGCAATTGGCACAAAATCGTACATCGGTTCCAAGGCACTGTACTTGGCATGTTTCAATTTTACAGCATGCTCCGCAACCGATCTGGAAACTTGATTACAATGTCATGTTTTAACTGCCTAGAAGCTTAGCCTATAAGTATGGAAAAATACTTTTGAAATAGTTTCGAAAGGCTGGGTTTTCCCGGTATTTTCAAGACCGCACCAAGACCTTTCTTTCAGATACGTTCATTTCCCAAATTGAACCTGCCGGGAATCGGACCTCCGCATCCAGCGCCTATATACAGTTGGGCCACCGAGGTCGTCATAAATAAAATCACTTTTTATATGATGCCATGTGGTTATGTTATAACCAAGGGTATGAAGTTATACTATCTATTTTGAAATTGATGAAATTTTAAGAATTGTTATAATTGTATTCCAGTGGTGAGAATAAGCAAGCATCTATGGCTTAAACTGCTGTCTAGCCGCTATCCTGGACTGGCCTTCATTCGCACCGACACCGTGCGATCTCTCCTCGACACCCACAGGAATCAAGGGATAATCAATGTTCTGCTATCTATCAAAGGTAAACTAGAAGTGTAGTTGTAACTATTAATCACTTTTTCATCACACGTTCTAGTAAACAATGTCATCGCATGCAGGCAAAGTCGGCAAATTACACCCACGGGCTTTGTCATTATAGTTGTATAATGACAAAGCCCATGGGCTGAGAGTTGTCTCATAGGGTAATGAATTTTTAAAATTCAAGAAGGAGCAAAGGAAAAATTCCTAATCTTCGATTTGATTTTAGAGGGGTATATCCACTTTAAAGTTAAAAATAAAATATTGTATGAGTAACTACACGATATATTCAAGCATAGACGTTAATCAGAAACATAAAACAATAAAGTTTAGTCAATACATAAAAATCACGAAATGACCTCTAATTTTCACATTTTTTCGATTTATCCTCGAAATGCTACAGGTTATTAAGACAAAAATTAGATAATTAGATATTTATGCATGATCGAGAACTGTGACTACGGATTTTTTTAATCCCTTTAGTTTTAGAGTTATTCTGCTAAAACGAATTTGGTACTTTTAATGCGAAAAATTCAACATCTCCTGTCGCATGTCACGCGAACTTTTTTTGGCATGAGAGCTCTTAATTGCACTTTTGTTTACGTCAGAAGCAAAAAGTTTTTATGCTGGAAAAATCTGAATGTGTTTCGCATAAGCTTGAAATATTGAAAAAAAAGTAAACATTTGCAATTTAACTATAGTAATAAATTTTGTAAATTCAAATACTGCAGTAGTTTTAGTATTTTGAAAATATATCTTACACATCATGGCAGTATGCGTTCCTGCCTTTTAGAACATTTTAATTCGAATTGTATTATCTATGGAAGAAAAGCTGGTCATCTGTTTTGAAAATAAATACTTTTTAAGGTATACTTACGTTATTATTCTAAGTGTATACTATTATAGAAGTTTTGAAAAGAGAATGAGCCACTTATTGATCATGTTATCAATCCTCGAACGCATTTTACTTAATTATTAACTAAATGAGTTATCCAAAGGCATTTCCCTCAACGTCTCCCTTACATATTACATATCTCCTGTACACAATTAATCGGTCGAGGTATTTGATTTAATTGAATGATGTTGGTTTTAGTCTGCCGACCTTAGATATTCTAAATTGTAATATTGTGACACTGGTAATATTATGTAACAAACGACTCTATTCCATTGAGAAACTAATTAACATCCTCATAATTATAAAATTATATTTAAACAGTAAGGCATACTTTTAATTGATAATTTAATAAGTACGGTTACGATGTTCTAAAAAAAAAACACAAGATAAATCAAATATGGAATGTCACTGTTTAACCTTAACCGAGTGTTAACCTTATATCTAAAGTAGTAAAATAATTTTTTAATTAGTACAGTGGCTATTTGATAATGATTTAATTGAAATTAAAATATCAAAAGTGCGGCGGTGACTTGTACATTTGTGAATGTTTGGTATAGATATTAATTAATCTGTCGTATTAAAACATAGAAATGAAACCTATGACAGACGCTAACCTTTACAAAAATGTAAAATATTTTTCTTTATGCAATACCTGCTGTCGATATTTGAGTCAAATCGTGACAAACACATTGTCTAATGATATTGATTCGTTTTAGCGATAAATCACGCCAATCATAGTTTCAACTTAGAGGGGTTAAGTAACCCGTTGTGCACAAGGTACGCGACGATAAAGCAATTTCGTTACCTAAAAGTTCGTAGTCAACTTCAACTAGCAATAGTAAATGATTGATGAAAAAATGTTTCAGGCTTCATTAACAGGTAATGTAAGAGCGGTCGAACACGGCGATTTTTAGCACCGATACAAACGCGATAGAAACGTGATGCAAACGCGACGATTTAAATTCATTAATTAATTTCACTTTAGGAATGTAGCGTAAATTGGAATGTTTTCTTTGTAAAATTAAAAATAAGGTATTTAATTAATAACTATTGTAGCTATAGTGAAAAAATAGGGTGGTTTGCATTAATATTAGACATAACTGGTTGAAGACTGTACCACCTCAGTCAACCGTGACCATGGGACCTGTAAAGGGCCCGAAACGTCGTCGGTTTGTTTGAAAAAACAAATATACGCGATTTAAATCCGGAAAAATAGTTTCATTTCCTATGTGTAACAATCGCGAAAACCTAAGAACTCGATAATTTCACTTTTTTAACCGAGTTCAAAAAAAAGAGGAGGTTCTCAATTCGACTGTATGTTTTTTTGTATGTATGTTACGCAATAACTCACACATTTGTGCACCGATTTTGATGATTCTTTTTTGTTGGAAAGAGGGTATTTCCATAGTGGTTCCATTTAATTTTGAAGGAAATCATCCACCTCTAAGGGTAGCTGTTCACATATGAAGCTCATTTTTTAAATAGCGCCTAATTTTTATTATAAGGAGCAATGGTTTATTTTAATGGTTGATTTTGCTATTCTCCAATTCAAAGCGTTTTTCTTTAAGCTGTGAGAACCGATTTTTATTATCTCCTGTGTTAAGTCCCGTATAGTGGCGGACTAGGGGATGAATCCGGGTATGCGCACTTTCCGATAACCGATTTCAATAAAAGTTGGCAAATAAAAATCTTTTCATTTTTATATTGTCAATACCGGTAATTGTGTTTGTATTATAATATTCATATACCAAATATACTTTCAATATGTTTGTATGCCAAATGTTTGGCCGGACACAGTGAAACTATACCTACTCATTTTGTACATGTCAACTTGCATATCTAACCTGTGTTTTCACAAATAAATGAATTATTATTATTATTATTATTATTAAATGTAATTCCACGAACTTTTGAGGTCGGTTTTTTTAGTACTCTGTACTGAGATTATAAGTTTACTATTAACAAAACAAAACAATGTTCATAAACCTATACAGATTTTTCGTACATAATTATTCAACACAAAGCTACTATATTGATGCAGTCGCGTGTTTGCATCGATGCAATAATGTCCGTCACTATCTTGCGGTTTATAGTTATATACGAGTTGTTCAAACTTGAACACATTAACATGCAGGCTTAAAAATTAGACAGTTACTTTAATCAAATATTAGTAAATAAACAATCTCACGAATAGTCTATCTATATTTACGACTCGATACGATCTCACACGGATCTGGCGGTTTGTTTTCGCCGCCTCTGACTTTTTGATAACGACATTTTGTTTTCGCAGCCGTTACATTGTAATTGTTCATATTAGATTTTGCTACTTAATAAGAAATGACGATTATAAAATCAATTTTAGAAGTATATACCTTAATGCTCTGGCCGAACAGAGGCGGCTGCGTTTCGGGCGCGGGAATTTTTGTAACGTACGAGTGCATAATAATAAGATCTCTGCCACTCTGAAACGCGTGGCGGGCGCGTGTTGCGTGCCAGGATGTACGAGGATAGACTGGCGGATTTTGACAATTGATTTTGTTTTGTATTCAATCAAACAAAATATACTTTTCAGGACCACTAAACGTTGATCACATAAAGGCACAATTGACTCAGCATGTGACCGATCGGCGAGACAAAAATGGGGACCTGATGTTCCCCCGACTTCGGCATCGGTTGGTGTCGTGTTGGGGCAACTACGCCTGGGACGTCAACGTTCCTTTTAACCCTGAGAACCACTTCATAGTCGCAAACTCTGTGTATCGGGGACGACCTGTTTCTGACAACAATATTCAGGTACGTTAAGTACTTTCATGTGACAATTTATGTCCGCATGCAATTAGCTAATAATTTATCGTTTTTGTATTAAAAAATACGTGTGCATTTGACCTCCACGACGACGACACGTCGACGATGAAGCATGCACACCTAAATAATGCCTATTCACTTTCGTATTGAAAAAGCTCAAGTCATAGATACTGTTCAGGAATGAAGTCTTCATGCAACGAATTCCACTCCATAACCGTTCGCCATATAAATGTGGAATCCAAAACGCTTCTTACGAATCCTTGGAATATCCACAACATAAGGGTGAAACCCCAGCCTTTGTGTAGTCCCCCGATGGTGGAAAAGGGAAGGCGGAGTTAAATCGTGTAATTCCCTCATACAGTCTCCGTGATATATCTTAAAAATGTGAACTTGTGTGGTTTCAGGACTATGTCAGCGAAATCGTCTCGAAATACTTCCCGCACGATCAACCGCCCTGGCAATACATCGTCATCCCCGTCGTCTCTATTGAACCCAAATTCTACGTATTAGTTCGCGTTCATCATCTTTTGCTTAGTGGCCACAAATCCATCAACATAGGAGACTTGTTATTGGTTGAACAGAATTCAAATGAAACTGTGACCCAAACGGTCTATAACCAACAAAGCCCTTTGGCCAAGTTGTTCCCTCAACCATCAGCTATACCAGAACTTTTGGGAAAGATCAATGAAAATCTGTCTAACGCCTGGAATGAGTTCATATCTGAGTATGATCCCGTAGAAAGTCCCCGAGCTCTCAAGACATTACCTGGTGCTTTTCATGTTGCTGGTTTGGTACTAATTTCTGGAGCCAGTGCGCTAAGAGAACTGTCCAAAAAGAAATCTAGTAATTCTCCTTTAACAGCAACGACATTATTGGCTGCAGTGCAGAAAGAATGCAAAAGACGAAACTTAACAATACCCAAGGTAAGATTCTGTTCCAATAAACTGAAGACAGTCAAGAATACCAAACAGGATTAAATAATATGTTGTATTTTTCAGATTCTAGTTTCACCATTCGTAACCGCAGACCCTCGAAAATGGCCGCGTCGTGCGTTTAACGCTGCTGTGACTACGACCAGAACTGCTATTAAACTTCCACTTCAACTCAGAGACGAGCTGAAGGCGTTCAAAGAACTAAAGAATACCGGGCAGGTGAACCATCCCAATACATTGACGTGGAAGTATGGAGAACTAGCACAGTTGTGGGTTCGAGCATCAATGGAAGCATGGAGAGGATTAGTCGAAACATACAGAGCTCCTGCTAAATTATGGGAGGACACTGTTAGAGCTGACGATGGCCACAGACATTTGTTGCAAACGGTCAACTTATGCGGCAGAAAGGTAGCAGCTTGGTCTCGTCCGATATCAAGAACAAGCATGGAACGCGCTGCTGAAGCTCTTGGCGTATCTTCGACAGATATCGCACTCTTCGGGGCAACAGAAGCTCTGCGTTCCTTTTTCGAACATTCCCAAACCCCTCCACCAGAGATTATCTTAACGACAGCTAGAGCTGCTTCGGAAGACTTTTTGTTCACTTTCGCTGAGGGTCAAGGAAAAGATTACAAGAAATCGGTAACAGGAGGTAACATCTAACAAACCTTCCGTGTCTATTACAGTCTATGAAATGAACTGTATATAAGGGATAACATTGATCTCGTCTTTTCCAGGCATGGTCTGTCTCTCTCTGCCAGTTGGAGGCACACCACGTCGTATAGCTTCTGCAGTTGAACATGCCTGCAACCGTCAAGGTGCTCTAGTCACAGCATGGGTAGCGCAAGCCCGGTGTGGTGCCCTTACACGAGCTGTGCCTTCGCCTTTCGCCAGATTAACATTGAATCTGTTATCGCGGAGGTACGCAGTGTCGTACGCTGAGATCAACGCACCTGTTAACGCTCGAGAAAGGAAGACATTGTGGGGACAAATTGTGGAGTATGTCGTGTATTGGAGACCACCACAAGCGAACATCAGTAAGTGTAGTAACTCTTAAAACTAGCCAAAATAACCAAATTCATTAGCCAAATAAAGGCCTTTATTTATTATTATTATTAGGATGGTTTCAATTCACTGCGACCGTTTACTTATCTATTGTGATCACCACCAATTATAATTCGGAGTTAAGGCCAACAGTGTTAAATAACTGAAGGATTTTCCTGGCTTCGACTGTTTTGATGTACTATGGCTGTGGCCTGTAGCTTCCCTGTAAGGCATACCATTGGGTAAGGAGGTACAGAAGAGTTTCTGTTTCCTCTCTGCCCAAAATTTGACGAGTGCTTGTTCAAGCCACAGTACCGTGTTATGGCCTAGTCAGTTTTCTGATGGTATTACTGCCCAGTAGTGATAGAGATTCTCTAGTGTTTAGCACGTGACACGGTCATATTGCCAAATAAAAATGCCTTATATGACAGTGATAGAAATAACGGTTTATATATTTCCAGGTATGTCGCTAACAGTAATACAATACGCAGACACAGTGCGACTCGCAGTAATGACAGACGCCCGTCTCTCTCCCGCACATACCGTCCCCGCTAATCGCTGGCCCATAGCGGTCGAACAACTAGTTAACAAAATTGACCAGGAAATCGCTAGAATCACCGCGCAAGCAAATATCCCACAAATTATTACGCCATGTGATACACAGGATCGTTCAGACAAAGCTGAAAGCCAGTCGAATGTTGGCCAGGTGTCTTCGAGCTCGCTCAAGCCCCCGTCTATTACCGTAGTCAGTCCACCGCCAATGAGAAGACACAAATCACAACATTAGTCTCAAAATCGGTATGTTAGTAGTTATGTGATAACTTATATTTCGTTTGTACAAACATTGCTTCAATGTTTACGCCTGGTGTAAAGGGGAATCGCCTAAGTAATAAAGAAAAAGTTATGGTTATCAGCTGAAAAACGATTAGCGATGGACCTGGGCATTCCCAAGCAACCCAGGTACGGTGTTGACTCAGGGCAACGGCTTCTCCCATAATGGTAGTAGTAGGTCCACCTGTGGCAAGCTGTGTCAAGTGGTCAATTTTATCTATATACATCGAGTATATAATCAGAAATAGAGACGAAATGTCATTTAATTTGTTCTGCCATATCATTACATTGACTACTACGCTCCGATTGGCCAGCCCGAATTCGAAACAATTGACAGGTGTTGTCTGTGTGTCGTCAATTGCTTCACTTCAAATCGACCAGTTAACTTGAGCTTTGCTATAATGGACGAAAATTGCAAAATTATTATCTATATATAGGCTATTGCTAAATATATTATCTTTATTACAATAAATACAGCATATTCTTGGAATATACAGTGCAAAACGAGAGTTGATATTTATAAGTGATAAGTTACCAGGAATGTATGACCCTTATTTCGTCTCTATTTCTGGTTATTTACTCGATGTCTATATACCTACGTCGGAGAGTTCTTATCTGCAAATTTTACAAAACTCAACATTGTGTACAAAGTCAGTGCACTCAATTGTTTTCAGCTTTAATTTCCAGTGCTGCGTAAATTGATTGGCTTATGGTTGATTTTTGTCAAATGTGTTGATTTTTTTGGAGCACCCGTGAACATATTTATAAATAAAATGTACCACTTTAAATGTGTAGAAATTGTTGGGTAGTTGAAAGTTCAGATCACATCAGATCTTTTAGCAGCGATGCAAACGCTTTGCAGTAGCTAATCGTCTACCTTTAGGTACACAAGCGAAGCAAACGCGCGATTGCATCGATGCAATCGCCTTTAAATCGCAAGTGTAGCGATGTAATCGCGCGTTTTACGAACGCTGCTGGAAGTCGCCATGTGTATCCACTCTAAGATGTAATAGACATAGAAATATACGTATAGGTTACTACACTAAGTGGTGGGGTATGCGCGCTGTCTATTTGTGTTTTGGGAATACGTGGAAAATTTTAGGCAAGACGGGGGGAATCGAGTTATATGGACGCCTCGCCACTGGATGTACTGTGACCATGTAATTAAATAGGTCTAGTATTTATATTAGTCTCATATACTTGCCAATGCAGATGCATATATTTAAAGTTTTATACACAATTAAACGATGACATTATTATATGAAATTCTATAATGAGTGTTTTTTTTAAGTATTTTTAAGTACCTGGTAGATTTAAGTAAGGAAAAACTTCGTAATGAATGTTGCAAATTGAAGAAAAGAGACCTCATGGTTGGCAACGATTCGAAAACATAATATTTAATAAATTAGTAAATTTTGGTTGGTTGGTTTTTTAACGGCTTTTTAGCCGTAGCGCCATCTGATTTCGTACTTTTTTTTATAGATGGCGCTACGGCCAAAAAACCGTTGAAAAACCAAGTACAGAGATACAACAACAAGCACATAGAAAAATTCGTGAGGTCCGCTGGTTCGTGGTTAAGTTGGCATACCGTCTGACACGGTTTGCTAGAAGACGTCGGTTCAAATCCGGTCGGACCGAAGGAGTTTTTTCTAAGTGTTCGATCTTTGTATTAATAACTATAACAAACTAGTGGAGTAGTTTCACAAAAAAATAATTGAATATCAATTCAATAAAAATTTTAACTATCTCTGTTTGTAATACCCGACTGTAAAATAAGAGGGGCAAGATAAATCACTATAAACCCAGAAGTTCATTGTGAACCTCGTCAGCTCCTGACGATCAAACAACAGCATCAATTGGGGATTAGTTGGTCGATTGATTAATAGAACTAGGCGCTCAATAAGAGGAAATGGCGTATGCTGTATCAATGCGAAGGCTCTAATCTTCAAATTCCATGCAATCATGTGATGGATTAATGTAGCGTGGTAAGGATACGAGCAGTTTTGCAGCTAATTAACCCGCAAACCATTTTGGACTCGTATTGGAAAAAAAAAACTGCAGAAATATCCATAATATAAAAATATTTATTATACTACTTCTTTTTTGATTTCTTCTTACTCTTACTTTCACTTGGTTCCTTTCGTTTTTTACTTTCCTGTTCTGTCACTTCGACTACCATTTTCTCTTCTGTTTCTTGAAGGCTCTCTTCAGGCACGTAGCTGAATCCTGGTATATGAGGTTGTACTAGTTGGTAGACCAGTTTCCTATGTTGGAGATTGCTGCTGTCTAACGTGAGACGCACTGTTAACTCGTCAAACGTTTTTAGTATTACTTTCCCGCATATTTGGAAGTGTTCCTGTAATGAAATAACATATATTGAATTCTACATACGTTTTGTTTTTGTCAGTTTAAATATACTGGTGCAATCTCGAAATCGGTCCCCATTATCGGCAATGCAATTATGGGATTTATAAGCTCCGTATCACCTGATGGAAAGTGACGACGAGGTCGACAATGGAGCACGCACACCTAAATGTAACCTATTCGCTCGCGCCGTAATAAGGCCCAAGTTCTAGGGTTCAGGGAATAAATAAGTATGCGGAATTCTTGGGTTTACTGACTATGAAAGTATTAAACTTACCTCTTCATTATAAGTAAACTTTTCACTGGGCAGATAGAGCGGCCCTTCCAAACCGTACTTTGGTATCAACACTTGCAATGCATTCCTCTTAACAGCCAACACCACAGCCGACTCAATCTCGACACGGTTCTTGAACAAGATCTGCAAAAGAAATTGAACCTCGTATTTATAACTTTACGACAAGACCAAAAACCGACGCCTCTAGTACGGGCACTAATAGGCACATTATTCTCCGGGGATAAAATACTAGTATAAGCTCTTGTGAAATGTGATCTTCATGATTTTTTTTTAGTTATATACTCCACAAACAGTCAAACCATTATAAGTTTTACCGCTCATGGACTTTTGAGTAACCATCCTTAATGGCAGGCCTGAGCCTTAGACGACTAATACGTTAGCAGTTCTTTGTGACCAAACAAGGCGATTAGAAAGAGAAACTTACAGTGAGTTCTGTCGACTTCTATAGATAATGGGCCTTCTATATTATTTTTAGTAGCACTAGAGCTCCTTGTGAAAGAGTTCGTCCAGGGAAGTACTTACCACCGTTGCTACCGGCAAGCATTAATGTGACCATTGCTTCGTTCCGGTTTTGAAGGGTAAAGTTTCGACAACTCGATAACTTGACATGTAGCTCAGTTGGTTAGAGTAGCGCTACGGGACAGCGTGGTCATGGGTTCAAGTCCCTTTGGTCGAAGAATATTTTTATATGTGTTCAATCTTTCTATTAATAATCATAACAAAACTAGTGGAGTTAATTCACAAAAAATGTCAATAATAAAAATGTTTAACATAAGAAAAACCTAAACAAATAACACTTACATGAGTGTTGAGTGCAACAGACGCCCGTCCCGCATACTGCGCCTGCCTATGCCGGTAGTTGAGGTTGTCGCATACCGCGTCAGCCAGCTTAGTATCCAGCAAAGTTGCGTGGGTGACGTCGGCGCCGATGCAAGCCGCCAGCAGACGGTGGACGATTACGTCTGCGTATCTGACATCGACGTACATATATTTACGAACAATGTACATATTGTTATAGTAATTTAGTCTTTAGAAGGTTGTGATTTTGATTCTTAACGCTGATCAATATATGGTAGCAAATAAACCCGCGATGTGATTATAATGTTATTCGAAAAGGCCAACAGATGGCAGCTATTACATTGTCAAGGTTATGGCTCTTGGTCAAGCGGTGATTATATATACAATGACGTATTATAAAATCGTAAATAAGCTGAGTCAGTTACTTTTAAAATTTTAAATAAAAAATCAGTGCTAAAACGTCATTTAGTAACGAAAATAAATTTAATGAAATGTCATTTGTACAATAGATTGCAAACTAATACATCAAAAGGAATACAATTAAGAAACCTTCGATTTGTTATCTTTTCAACGACAATCAAATGTTTTCAACAATTTTCATAATTGTAAAAAAAAATGTTCAAATGGTTTTGCATTTCTATTTTTATATTTTATACTTCTTAATTAGTATGATACCACAAATTTTTGAGATTAAATTTTTAGCAGTCTTTTGTTGTTGTTGAATAAAATTTTAAATGGTGTTTCACATTAACGTGACAGGCGATGATACACTAACGTAAGAAATACACAAATATCTCTATATTATTTTGTTCTCATTGTTCAATTATTCAGTACTTTTGAGTAATTGTGTTTTATATAAATTTCTCTTCAATTTTGTTAAGCACTTTATGCTGCTTGTGTGTGGAAATTCGTAAATGGCACATGGTTAATTAATTAATTTAATTAATAACGCTCACACTCAACATAGCCCCGCACTAGGGAAACCCTGTGTCGCGGGTGCCATGGACACACACATAGACAACCACAAATTACACCCAAACTCACGAGAGAAATAAATGTAGGCCATACAAATATTTCTCCCGGCCCGGGAATCGAACCTGGGACCTCTGCGTGGCAGTCCGGCATGGTAACCGTTCGGCCACGGAGGCAGTTAAATGGTTATTCATATTTAAGTAAACTATAATTAATAATTAGACCGTAAGTTTTTATAAAATAAATAGAGTTTAGTGTATTTCACGGGGCAAGCCGAAAGGAATCGTGTTATAAGGACTCCTCGCTACATAGTAAGAATTTTTAAATTAACACACTGTCATTACCTTCTTATAGGCGAAGTGAAGTGTGTATAAATAGGACACGCGAGACCATAATGGTAAAACTCTTCCTGAGATTTGGTTCCGCTGGAAAAGTAGACAGCCTGCTGCATGCAGCGCGTGGCCATGATGCGGAGCAGGGTATTGAAGAACGGCCGGCCGGGAATTACAGCTTCGTTGAGCGATTTGCTAAACGCTTTGTTCGTTGACACGTCCAGTTCGAATCCCTGGAAAGTAAGAAACTTGATTAACTAATCTTAATTAATTCTAAACGTCCTAAAGTGCGATTATAAGTAATTATTATTATAAAAAACCGCCATATTTGCCCAAGTTTTATTGAAATCGGTTAGCGGAAAGTGAGCGAAACCGGATTCATCTCCTAGTTTGCCACTCTTAGAAGTGAAATATTTTGTTCAAATTTCATCATCATCATCCATAGCTTGATTTCACCCACTGCTGGGTGTACACCTTGCAACGCCTGTCGCTTCCTCTGCCCATCCTCGGCCACCAATCAGTCGATGTCTTGCTCCACCCCCAGCCCCATTTGACTTCCATAATCAGAGTTCCAGCATCCTGGACTTTCGTCCGTCGTCGGATCTCACCGTTCGGAACTCGGTCTACAAGGCTGATGCCGATCATGGCGCGTTCCATGGCCCTCTGTACAACTCTCAACCTGTATAGTCTCCTGCGTAAGCGTCCATATCTCGGCACCATACATCATGGTGGGCAGAACACGCTGATTAACCAAGCGGGTCTTCAGACACTGTGGAACCTTATCTGATTTAAGGATGTGATCTAACTTGCTAAATTTAAATGAGACCAACACTGAAGTACCCTCTTTCCACCAAAATAGAATCATCAAAATCGGTTCACGGCCTGAGTTATCGCTCAACATACATACAAAAAAAAAATACAATCGACTTGGGAACCTCCTCCTATTTTAAGCCCGTAAAAATGTACATGATACGTAGTTTCTTTAAATGAATCAATTAAAATCCTGCCTCCGTGGCCGAACGGTTACCATGCCGGACTGCCATGCAGAGGTCCTGGGTTCGATTCCCTGGCCGGGAGAAATATGTGTAAGGCCTACATTTATTTCTCTCGTGAGTTTGGGTGTAATTTGTGGTTGTTTATGTGTGTGTCCATGGCACCCGCGACACAGGGTTTCCCTAGTGCAGGGCTATGTTGAGTGTGTGCGTTATTATTATTATTATTAAAATCAAACTTTAAGGTTTCGTCAATTGAGATCAAGCTTGACACAAATTTCATGACGGCGCTTTAAAATAATATGCATTCAAAATAACTCTGCTTTAAAAACGTCAACATTACGTGGATATTGATAGTAATGTATATGAACAAAAATTGAACATGTAATAATTATATGGTCATAAAATTTAGAAAAAATAGTACTTCCTAAAAATCGACAATCCGCGATTTTATAAGTTAAACTAGCGCCAGTTACGCAGCACAAAGTACGGGAGGCCTACACCAGGGTTTCTTAACCTGTGGTCCATGGACTCTTAAAAGGTCTCTGTAATGAACGATAAGATCCATGGCGAGCCTAGGCGCCTTAGGCGTAATAAAATGCATTAATATAGAAATTGGTATACAGCACGTTGTGAGTAAGTAGATACTGTGCGCGTGACCTTTTTGCAATTTCGCGCCCTTTGACAGCCTTACAATAATGGAGCGAACAAGATGCGCGTTAACACAACTCGTAAGCCTTTCTTCATCTTCATCATTTCGAAAAGGGTCCGTGGGCTCTTTGAAATTTTGAAAGGGGTCAATGACTAGAAAAAGGTTAAGAAACCCTCGCTAGGTGTACCTAGTAATAAATGAAGACGGGATGCGCATATTGATGACGATGAATATTAGAACAACTTTTAGCTATTTTACCTGTTGCCTAGCAGCTTTTAAGAATGTAGTAAAGTTGGCAGGCGGCGGTGCTGGATGCCGCCTCAGCAGTGCGCACTGCGGGAACTCTGCCGCAAGCTTCTCGGCGACACTGACGTTTGCCAACAACATGAACTCTTCCACCATCGAGTTGGTGTCCATTATCTTTTTAGCTTGGACTTCTACAGGGTCATGAGTTTCTGAGTCCACCTGAAATTGACATAATTACCTATATTGAGTTTTGTGTATAATAAAATCTTTCACATTATTCTTGGCATTAAAAGAAGTAGTTGAGAAAATTCTGTCTGAAAATTGCGTCAATTTTACTTAGAACCAAGCGCACTTCATACTAAATAAATACATACACACCCGCACACACTGACGCACGCACACAGTAAATAACCTTAAAGCTCAATTTACATTGCCGCGGAATGAAATGTAAGGGAAGCGACAACTTCGTCTCGCTACGCGAGAAGTCGCGCGCGGTCGCGGGAATGCTCGAGCATTCGCGAACTTACTCGCGACTGCGCCTTGAAGATAGTAGTATTTTCCCATTCGCGCGGCTTGTTTATTGACTCGTATCAAGTTTGTACGTTACACAATTGACATAATGTTCATTTTGCTATGTATAAATTTCGTTACAAAAATTCGCTTCCATTCCGTTCCACCGCAACGTAAATTGGTCCTAAGTTGGAATTCAGATGTTTTTACAAACATTGCTTGAGAATGCTAAGTAAAAGTAACGCCTAATTAAAACCTCGTTCTCTTTAAAAGCTCTGTAGTAAAAATTACTATTTGGCACTTAAGTTTCCTTACCTCTCACCTACAGATTTAGCAGCTGGCATGATCAATAATTTACAAAAAGATGGAAATCAGAAAAAGATGGAAAAAGCTTACTAAACAGAATACCTATTTTGTGGAAGGCTGGAGCCTAAACTAAATCAAAAGATTTGTATTTCAGGTCTCCAGGCCCCCCAACTCAGATTATAATTGCATCATTATGTGCTTAAGTAGGTATACAGTGTGTGCGCGTGTGCGTGGTGTGCGTGTGTGTTTTTAAATGTGTAAGAAATATATAATCGTAAAATAGAAAAATTATTTTCATTATCATTTATTTAAATATTATAAGGGTAAAAAGCTTATTCCATATATCAATTTAAAAAGTTTGTTAATTGATATTATTAGGTTTCGGAAATGTTACCGTGTAGATGGCGTGTCGGTGTTGATTGTGATTGGTCCGAACACTTTATCTACCGGTTCGACTAGTCAATGACATTGCTTTTAAAGTTCCCTACTTGCGAAAAATGGCGGGAATTGAAAAAGAAGGGATTTACGAGGCAATGTCTTGAGGTGAAAGAAAAATGTATGCATTCGTATCTCATCAAATGTTAAAGTTAGATTGGTCAGGAAGTATAACGGTATTTTGTGGTTACAAATTTTGTTGAGTATATTTTAAAGTTCTAGTATAAATTGTTGGAGGAATAGATAATTTAATAAATCAGTTTGGTTAATACGGCGTTTTATTGGAGCGTTTGGAAGAAGTCTACAAATGTTACCTGGAAGCGGATCTCGGGTGAGGCGAGCAGCAATGCTCCGTTGTCGAGTCTTTTCTGTTTGAGCTTCTTGGCGAGCGCGTTGAGCGTGCGAAGCGATCGCGCGATCTCGTCGTCGCGTGACGAGTCAATCGCAATTTGAGCCTCCTCGTATGTCATCGCAGCGCGGGACTAGCATAAGGCACAAATAGGACATCGTTTATTTCATAATTTCGGCAACAGGTCGAGCTATACTGGTTACAAACAGGGTTGGAAAAAATTATGATTTTTTGAAAAAATCCTAATTAATCATGATTTTTTTTTAATTTTATTTTATCATACAGTTTAATTATTTTTTTGTGTAAAACATAAAAGGTTAAAGGTTAATTAACGACGGCAAGCTAGTTTTTTTGTTTAAGTATTATAAATAATGGTATTGATTTCTCAGATGTAAAAGACCCTAGTCTTTAAAATATAATTGTCTGATTTTATGTTGATTTCTGTGAAAGAAAATAAAATTAAAAACATTTGATTAAATCACTGATTTTTACAGAAAAAAATCATTTGATTTAAATCACGATTTAAATCATAATTTAAATCAAACTAATGTAATCGTGCCAACCTTGGTTACAAACTGCTAACATGCATTTAATTGACGTAAGATATTCTCTATTTAGATAGGTTTAGGCGTGATCAACTGTATAAGTAATAAGACCGCGAATAGTATAGCAGTTTGCGTCTGAACGCGTATTTATTCCATAATAATTATTCCTTTCCATATTACAAATTATAATTAATCAATTTTAAATTGTAACGGGTAGAAAGTCTGAAGATCTCAAGATCAGAAGTACGAACAACAGTCTCTCGCTCAAGGTAATTAATTAAATTTTAGTCTTATTTATCTGACATTGAATTTATTTATTATAAAATCTTCATTTATCGAGTTCTTAGATTTTCGCGATTGTTACACATAG